TTTACTATTTATGGAATGACTAGGAAATATCACATGACAAAACAATTTTTATTGCATTTTTGATTGGAAATTTTTTCTCAAAATTCATTGTCGTGGCGCAGGAAGTTGCGGGATTAGGTGTCCTGCACTGTATATAATATTGAAGAAATTGATATTGAATTTGACAGGAAATCAGAATCTACCATAAATAGAAATGGTGGTGTATTGGGGCCAAAATGATATCCTGATGTTAAAATATCAAAAAATTATCAAGGTCACAAATGGGAATTTATGTTCTGTGAAATCAGTTATGGACCATACTCATATGACAAAGCACATTACTTGCATCAGGAAATTTTCCCCACCGTAATATTACATCCGTAAAAATTATGTAATATTTACACTTGATGTAATAATTGCATAATTTTTGTATGCTTATTTGCATAATATTATGGGCCTGCCAGATGTAGAAGATGGAGTAAGACTGGGAAAATTTGCAAATGATTCTTACAATTATTACCACATGTTTACTCAAAAATTTGAAAATTTGAAAAACTTGCCCGTACTCTGAAAAACCAGTTTTTTCTTTACGGTGTTGATCTTTTCTAGATAACCCAATATCCCAATCTAACTTTAATCTACGACCTTCAATATTGGAACCATAATATTTATCATACGCATCTTCTGCATCTTTCCTATCTTCAAATTCTACAAAGGCGAATCTAAAATAAAGCGTTTGTGAATAAATATAAATTGTTTTTGACTATATAAAGTACAAATATTGAATTAATAATAACCCTTTATTTCTTCCAGTATAATTATCAATTTGAACGGTGACTTTCCTCAACCGACCATATCTTTCAAACATATCAGCCACATCATTCTCATGAAATGTATATGGTATATTGCCAACATAAAGTGTCGTTGTATCGCTCCTTTCTTTTTCAGTGCCACTGATAACAGATTAATTGATAATGAAAGTATTGTTATTTATAATTAATTATGCTTTAAAAGGAAAGGTGAATATCTACCGATCAATTGGTTTAGTTCTCCTCGGAGGGCCTCTTCTTTCGTAAGGATAAGGATAGTCTCGATAGTCGCGATATCCTCTATCATCACGATAACCGCTTCTACCATAAGAACCACGACTATCACGACTATCACGACTATCACGGCTATATCTATTATCTCTAGCATAACGATCATCTCTGTATCTATCATCTCTTCCACTACTACGATTATTTCTGGGAGATGGACTCCTCCTTTTTGGAGAAAAGGACATTTCACGCTGGCCAGCACTTCTTGGAGAAAGCGATTGTTCTCTTCTAAATAAATTTATAGTTTATAAGAGATAGATGACGGACAAGGAGTAAGTAAAAGATAGAGTATAAGACTCTAACCTAGAAATGCCGATTTGTTCCATTTTTTAAAAGATGTTATGAATATTTTTTTTACAAAAAAAAAATTATGTATTTGTGTGACATTCTTCTGCGGATCGCTGTCTGTATATACTTCATTATTCCAAGTAAACTCGTAATTCTTAATTAAGGTCCAAAAAGTTAGGGAAGGTAGGTCTTGTGCCATAATTTAAATAAATACTTCACAAATACACCCAGATAGAGCAAACAAAAGTCTAGGATGTTCACTCTCTCTATAATGGACTATTTGGCTTATGAAAAAATGTCCGTTATAACAGTGATGATTTATATATGGAGCATATAAATTCTAAAGAGTGAACCGTAATTATTTATCATATAAAAAATTATATGTTACCAAATCATCGTTAATATGGATTTTAAAATTATGTATGACCTTAAAACATTAACGGTCACCCAACTATTGATCTACATGACCTTCAATATTATTATTATAAGTGTATTTAATGTTCTCGCTATGTCACTGCTACTTTCTCTATGATATTATTTTTTTTATATATTTAACCAATTTTTGTACCATAAATTGCTTGATAATGCAATTATACAAGATAGATAAATAAATATGTAAGCTTGATAAGTCGGTTTTGGCCCGAGTATAATTTAAATGAATCATGATTAGTCGGTATCACGTGATATTTCATGTGAAGGGTCATCATTACTATTTAGTAATAAAATATCTGATGTAAAAAAAATATTTTTATTGTTCATTTAGAAGGGAGAGAGCATTCTCATTTGTGAACTACATTCATATTTTATTACCTCCATCAGTTATAATGCATAATTACACATCCATTTTTTCTTGTCAAGTAATTTTAAAAAGAGAACTTTTTTCGCTTTAATCATTTGGTGATTTATCATGAATAATGCATTAATATTTTATTACCTTAGCAGTTGTATCATCAATTGTATCATTAATTTATCGTGAATAATGCATTAATATATTATTATCTCATCAGTTATATCATCAAGAATTTAGATAACATTCTTGTTTAATCACGAAAAATACATCTGTATTTATTTAACTCATTTTTATATCATCATTTATATTATCACTTATATCATTGAAACATGGTGGACATTCTTTGTTGTCACATTTGTGCAACGATCAACAAAACAATTTTATCACTTAATGTAATGCAAAATT